ATTTTAGTGTTGGAGATGATTATTATTCAGTAGATGAATTTTCTTTCTTTCTGCACTAGTGTATGGGTGGGGGTTGCTGGACCTGGTGCTACTTTTTTGAAATTATAAATACTTTCCTGCTGTTCAGCCTCTCTCGGAGTTCTATGGTTATGAGATATGCGATTTCTATTTGTATGGTTGCTTGAGTAATACAATCTTGAGGCGTACAGGATAAGGAAGAAGTGGTTTCATGTTCTGCCAAATGATCTTTTTCCTGCCTGATGGTCTGTATGTATACTAGTTGTTCTTGGTCCTGGCAAATAGAGTTACGAAACAAGCTGTTGACCCTCTTTAAACCAGAATGGCAGAAAAGTGAACATTTTATGGTTGATTGGAACAAGGAAAATTGTCTTTAGCTATAGGCATGGGATCTATCTAATTTTATTCTATTTGTTTGATGCACTTCCAGAGGTTCAGGAAAGACAATGTGCAACTATCCAGTACTGAGGCATATATGCGAGGTCTGATTCCTTGAAAAGGGTGAGCATTTTTATCCAGCTTTCCCTTTTTTTTGGGTTTTTGCATATAACCGTCACCTTCCCTCCGCCCACCCAGCTCCAAAAAGAGAACTCCTGCATCCCTTCAAATCTATGAAAATCCGGTGTTTGTGATGTTTAACTAGCCTGAATCCCAAAAGAAACCATCCATTCTAGATTTTAATGAAAACTCTATGCTCAAAATTGAACTTCTATTAAACTTGAAGAACAAATAAAGAATAAATACAATAGGAAAATTCCGTTCATGATTTTGGGTTGGAATTTCGTTAAATTAGTTTCTGTTAATTCCTCCTTTTGGCTTCCCTGCATGTTAGCTGCATACAAAATACATGTACATACTTGCATGCAACTGGATTAGAAAAATTGTTGAGGACATTTGAATTTTTGGATTTGCACACATTCATAATTATTTAACTGGGAGCTTTTAAAACCAGTGTAGGCTGAGCAAAGGGCACGTGAGGAAAGTGAAAGGCTGAGACAACAAGAATGTGAACAGATTGCGGAGAAGCGGAAGAGGGATTTGGTTTGTTCCTTTTATTGATCTTTACTGCATTTAGAATGACATTTTATATTACTAGCTCTCTATGTGCACAAATAGTTTGACTTTCTGAAATTGTTTCTTTTGTTTATTGCTCTTTCTTTATCAGACTCTCAGAGCATGTATTGCTGCGAAAGCAGAAGAAAAGAAGTTGGAATTGTTGTTTCTTTGGTGGAGTGAGCACCATAGGAAACTTGGCAATTTCATAAGGTATATTGCACAAGCACATTTGTCTGCTATTCTTGCTTGTGCATAGTAGATCCTGGTGACTGACTCTATTACTCTCTTTCCGGTGCAGGTCATTTCTAATTTTGGTCAAAAAGTGTCGATAATCACTATTTTACTGACACGAAAATGAGTTTCTGTTCATGTGCAGAATGTTGAAGTACCTAAATGATGCCTATTTTCATGATTGCAGGAGTTTAGGTTAATGAATCTAGTGAATTTCTATTTAATGTGTTTATGACAAATTTCTTCTCTCTCTTTTGCTTACATTTCTTCCAGGACCAAGGCAGACCCTCCAATAGATTACTTGTTTGCCAAACCTATGAATGACAATGCAACTTTGCTTGAGGAACAGAAAGAACAGGTGAGTTTCTGTGATTATATTATATGCAAACATGGGCTGTTTCACCATAATGACATTTAGTGTTTAAAATAATCTGCCACTTGTTATCCCACAAGTGTAAATGTGTCCATTACAAATATTTATTTATGGAGAAGGTGAACATCGTTGCACTAACAGCTTAGTGTGTGAAGTTGAGATTAATTTATATTTACTTTGTGATGAGAATTTTATGTACTTTATTATTATTATGTTCTGCATCTCTCTTGTGAACTGGGCATCCTTCAACAGATCATGTTTTTCTTTTGTGTCCGAGGATATTATTTGTTTCTTTCAGAACTTTATGTTTTGTTAATGTTTGCAATATCTTGCCCTTTTTTTATTTTTTTCCTAATTCCTTTGCGAACATATGACGCTGCTTTATCTAGAAGAAGAATGCTATCTCAGTAGATTATGCTAGAATAGGAACAAACAAATTTAATGCTACTCAATATGTATTGTTAGGAAGAGTTGGTTTATCAGAGCTGTCGTTAGATTCAGCATTAGATGGAATAGTGTAAAGGGAAAAATTTTGAAATGTTAATGAAACATTATAACATCAGTAGTTGATAAAAAACTGGTAGATTTGGAATAGTAGCAATTATACTCTTTTTTGAATCAGATGTTTCAAGAATGGAAGGCTAGCAGGAGAGAGGAATTTGTCAAGATTTGGGGTCCATCTTAATAAGGTCAACCTTGTTAAGAGGAGTGTCCCAATCCTTTATATATTGGTCATTATTTCGGTATTTTACCGATGTGGGATTATATTCCCTTAACATGCCCCCGCAAGATGGTGGCTCGTTTGAGCAGACCAATCTTGAAATCCGTGTGCTCATTTTTAGAGACTTAATCGGATCGAATCGCTCGTTGGAGCTTAATGGGCTCTGATACCATGTCAAGACTTGGGGTCCATCTTAATAAGGTCAACCTTGTTAAGAGGAGTGTCCCAATCCTTTATATATTGGTCATTATTTCGGTATTTTACCGATGTGGGATTATATTCCCTTAACAGAATTGTCTCAATATCAGAATCAGATTGCAGAATGGTATGTGGGAAATGTGGACAAAGAGCTTGGAAGGTGGCAGAACGGAAGGAAAGGGCTGAAAGCGAACAATGACATGGCAAACTTACAAGAGACAATGAGCAAAGAACTCGAGACTCATCAGCTTGAGCACGGCCCCAAAACTCGAAAAATTCCCGGTGGAAGCAACAATGACGATGAAGATGATGTGGAAGATATAAATGTTGGTGAGGATGATATGATGGATGATGTGTTGGATGTTGATGAAAACGGGAGGAGAGTTGATGAAACTGTGAAAGCTGAAATAGTTAACGGTATCCCTTTGGAGGACGACAAGAAAGACGCGTAGTCTGTAACTCCATATGTTTTACTACTAAGCTTAAATTCTTATTAGGTTTGTAGTTTCACTCTTATTATCCCCCATATTTGATCCTGTTTTGCTTTAAGGGTTTTACTGTGACCAGTGCTGGTCCTGAAAATTTTTAGGCCCTAGACGATAAGTTATCACGAGGTCTTTACACATAATCTTTCTGCAAGCATATTGGCATCAAACATTACTAAGGCCCCGTTTGGTAGGGATTTTTTGCCCCAAAAAATTGATATTTTGACCGTTATTTTACTATTCAAGCCGTAATTTTTGACTTCTTCTCTGACATGTGGACCCCACTTTTCTTCTAACGGTCAAAAAATCAATTCTCAAAATCCCTACCAAACGGGCCCTAAATCAAATAGTTTCTCATAATAAGAAATATTATACCTTTGATACTCATCGTTTGATTGGATCGAGAATCAATTTTCGTTTTCAAAAAATATAATATAATGATTTTATGAAAACCAGTGAGGTATGAGGATGGTGTCTACTATTTATTATCAAAAATATCTTATATTTAAAAAAAAAAAAATTCAACAGCAGCCATAAATTGAAAGGCGTTATTGGTAGAGAGGCCTCTATTTTATTTGCACTACCATAAAATATCTATGTAAGAAAATTGAGAAAATTCCATGATGATTATTTTTGGGCTTTAGGAAACTTTTTGAGGCAGTGGCCTTGGGCCCAAACCGGCCCCTCCAGTGTGTTTTTTGAGGAAGGATTTAGTCTCTTTTTATATTTCATCAATTTGTTGTATTTGCACACTCTTTTGGACTTATGGGACAGCATGATTTATTTTTTTGCTTACTGGGACCATTTTAATTTCACGGAATTGCTGATCTAAATTGAGGATAAGTGGTAGGGAAAAAACCATAACTACCATGGTTTAAGATTATGCATATACAAATAACGAACATTGTAAAATTATGTATAAATGAGGTCATAATTAATTATATTTATAAAGAAATTGATAATAATATGTGATTGAAGTTTGTGGTTATAAAATGATAATGTGATATTCTTAAAAGGTTGAACCCCAATCTTAAGGGCCCCCACCGACCCTGCCCTGGGTCATCGTGGAGGAGGATAATGTGATATTCTTTCCATACCAAAGTTGTGACATTCTTTCATTGATTCTCTATTTTCCTCGGCTAATTGAACAAAACTATCAAGTCTTAAAAATGTAATATTATAGAAAAAATAGACTATATGTAACCATACACGTATTAAAATTGAGACATAAAATGCATAAAAAAGGTCGTAAGCACAATAACAAACAACTACTTCAAATCTAAAAATGAAACAATGCATTAAATGACAAAACTACGTCACAATTATATCTTTGTTTAGAGAATGAATGTGATCAATTGATTGAATAACCTGATGAAAAACTTAAAAACATGGTTTGCTCGAATTTTTTCAAGGGGTAACTAATATGAGTATTGTTGTACTTTATCTATTGGGTTGATAATTGAATTTTCATGTCAATTCTTTAGGGCCAAACTTCTCTAAAAGATTAGTGAACAGGTCGAAGGACTTGAACGAACCCGACTTTTTTGTGAAAATAAACTCTAATGTGCAACGGTTTGGTCGTATTTTGGTGTTGGTGAGGTATATTAAGACCCAGTTTGGTAGAGATTTGTGAGATAGAGTTCGTAAACAAAATGATTTTTTTAAAAGAATATATAGTTAAAAATAAGAAAATATATAAATTCACGTACATAATTATTTTATTAGAAGAATGTTCGATTGGAAATGAATTTGAGGGAAAAATGAATTTTAAAAAATAGGATCAAATTTCATTTCTTCAAAAGTTTCTACTTATACACTGCAACAAGAGAGAGCTTGCTTTTATTAGGCGATAATTGGTTGAGTTGAATTTAGAGATGATCACTGGAATTATTATTTAATTTTTATACATACTCTATGATCTATGAAATCAAAGGCTATAAAAAGGAATTAAAATCAAGATTTGGAAATGAAAGCCAGTGTTATTTTGTAATCCAAATCAAATTAACAATTTTCAAATCAAATCTCAAACTCCAAAGTTTTTCATAATCATGATGCATATTGCATCCCTTCCATCATCTCAGTCAAACACTCCAGCGGAATTGAATGGAGTAGCTGATTTTCCCTTTCTGTTTCCTGGTCATCTAATCCGACCATCGAAAGCTCGTCGTTTTCTTTCTCTGGCGACAATGATTCCAATGCGGGTGGGGGGAAAGATATGGAATTATCTGGTAAATACTCCGGAGAATTGTCAGCGCTCGTTGGGGCATCTATCAGTGGATATCCGTTAAGACCAGCTGGTTCAGACACCGGAGATTTGATTGTATTGTTATCTAACAATTTAGGGGTAAAATTCAGAGGCAGAGGTGGCGCTTTACTTTCAGTGACAGCCGGAGGAAAAATGCTACGATTACCGGAAAAATTCGCCGGGGGGAGGTGAGATATATTTGGCGAATGTGCCGGTAAATATCCATCAAAATCTACTGGTTCAGGCGCCGGAGATTTGACTGTGTTACTATCTAAGGATCCAGAGGCTGGCGGTTGAAGAAAACGGGTAATATTTGTCGGCTGTGGTGACGGCGCACTTCCATCGATAACCGGAGAAAAAATACTCACAATATCGCAGAAATTCGCCGGAGAAAAGTGAGGCGATTTTGCCGGTGAATATGGACCAAAAACAGCCGGTTCTGGCACCAAAGGTTTGATTGTAAGGTTCTCTAACCATGCAGAAGTTGGCGGCTCTGTAAAATTCATACGCAGGGGTGGCTCCGCAGTATTATTGACAATAGGAGTAAAATTTCTGTGATTAATCAAGGAATCTGCAGGCGGAAGTGAAATTTTGGGCGAATTTGCCGGTGAATACCTACCAAAAACAGCCGGTTCAGGCACCGGAGATTCGATTGTGTTATATGGCGGCTCGTGAAAACCAGCAAAATTCGTACCATGTGGCGCCGCCCCAATTCCGTTGATAACTGGAGAATAAATCGGAGGTTCAGACGGTGCCGCAGATGGAGAATCTTGGCCCGATCCAAAACCCGTTTTCAAACAGTTCAACATTCCTCCCAAACCATGAACCGCAATATCGCGGCTGTAAAACAGCCCCGGCAAAACCACTTCCACGCCGTCCAAATTAATCGCATCATTATCTGAAATTAGGCTACCAGACCGGCGGCTTACCTTGATCACGTGGTACTTGACAAGGGTATCAAGACCGTAACCAGATGGTAGGCGGCGGAGCTCATTGAGAGTGAGGCGGAGGGGGACCACGTGGCACCGGAGGACAGAGGTGTAATCCGACGCTGTATTGATCATGTCTATGGCGTACAGATTGGAATCTGTTGGAGCGAAGAATGTGAAGGAGCTGTTGCTATTGAATATCTCGTAGATGATATCGGAGGTGGCGATGGCATTGCTGAAGAGAGCGTAACCGCGAACGCGGAGGATGGCTAGCATTGACTCTAGTTCATCTTCCTCGACACCGGTGGTGACGGTAGCGGCCAGGAAGAGGAGAAAGAGGACGGTGCTTAAGTGGTGGCGGAAAATTGACGCCGCCGCCATTGACGTAGAGTAGTTGAAATTCTTGATTTTGGCGGGCTTTCTTTATTTATTGACGTAACTAAAATTTGTTACACTGTTGAAATTCTCTAAATATATTTCCTATTATCAAATATAATAATTATAAGATAAAAATAAATACGATTCAATCGAGATTTTTATTTTCATTTTTTTTTTCTCCGATAACTTCTCATCTTAAAGTATATTTACTTATTTAGAACTATATATCAACTATCAAAAATTTTTTATTTCTTAAAATACTTCTATCGAGTTCTTAATAAATGTTTTTCTTTAATTACATATTATTATTCTAAATAAGAAAAAATAATGACTTGATCCTAGTCGAAAATAGCTGTCATATATGGGTACTATTATGGTGAACTATCATCGACGCATGTGAGGGTAAATCAGGCGTAACACAAAAATCTAAGACGGATAGATATTTTCTTGTAAAAATTGAGAATGTTTTGGAGATTGACCGGAATTGTGTTCTTTGTCGACATATGACGAAAACACGCCAACACTTTTTCTTCAAGTGTTTTTCACTTCGTTCTTATAGGGGGGAAGATCAGACACTGACTTGACATTAGAAGATCTATGTCCACACTTACTAGTACGTTAAAGTGGATAAAGAAGGAAGCTTGTGGGATATTGTGGCTTAGCAAGGCCAAGAAGATCGCTCTCACAAGTACCGTTTATTACATTTGGTTAGCTACGAACAGAAAGATATTTGAAAACCTTAGCCCACACTTGGATTGTATTGTGAGACAATCAAAGACACGTATACAAAGTTATGTTCTCTTTGTATCCATGTCTCAATTCATATTGAGTCCTCAGTGCTGGGTCATTGATTTTGTTGTATATCCATACCTTTTTGTTTGCCTGGAGTAATTGTGAGAAACGTTTGTTTGCATTTACTCGAATATGTCTAGTGTACTTGTATATAAAATTTTACATTTACCGATAAAAGAAAGAGAGAGGGACAGACAGGGAGATCTCTATTAGACTATTACTATCTAATATAGCTTTCCGAACATTTAACAAGAGGCCTAAGAATTTCCATTAAAAGCAGCATATAGGTCAATTGTACGTCATAGCATAGTTTTTCTTTGGCAAGTAATGAAATGACAGAATTTCCATCTAACAAATTGATCTGTGGAGTTCATTACTAGCTCTTGTAAACACACTTTGAGGAAGAAATATTTGTTTAAATTGTTTCAATTCGGAATTATGGCCTTTCTAAGTTTGATTGGCACTGGATTGAGTTTTTAGTCGTAGCTATTGATTCATAGAATTGTGTAGTTTTCTTGTAAATTTATAATAGATAGAGTACACAATCCAGACATGATTGTTGCTCCGCGACAATTGAATTTAGCTTTTCAAAATTTTCACCAATAATTGTCTCATGGGAATATGAGATCATGATTGAAGCCATTTACTCGTAACTTAAAAAGAAATTATACGTAATTATGATCTAGTCGTCTAAACTCTCTCGAGCCAAGCTTATGTAGGTTTCAATTCAATTAATTTTTTTCTTTACATTTCATCTCATAATTGGACTAGATACATACAAGTATATGACAACGGCACAAAACTTGGAATATCTTATTTATATTGTTGGTGCTATAATTGCAAGTAGACGAAGTTAGAGAAAATCACGTTGATTGTTGAGCTTTAAATTGAAAAGTTAAGTTGAAGAAACCGCAACTAACCTATGTAAAAGATTAAAATAATTTAAAAATAATAATTCAACAGAGAATTTCAAGACACGTGTTTGAATTTTTCTTATGACCATATTTTTTACACATTGATGAAGCACACGGATAAGAAAAACACCCCAACAATTTCACTTTTGTAGAGGAAGTCAAGAGAAGAGTAGTTGACCCACTAGATCCTAAATAGTGACATAAACTTATGAAGAAAAATCAATGTAATAAAAATAAATATTTAAATAATTACAAAGAAATTGGAAGACCAATGAAGGGATTGGTAAAAGAAAGAATAGAAGTTATTGGAAAAAATGGAAATGTTCTAAATTGTTATGATGGAAAATCTCCGTATCGAGTGTTTGACGTTCACCATGTTGAATTTGGTGTCTAATAATTTTAAGACATAACTATAATTTATGACATCCTGTATTGTTTATTAATAAATAAATATTTATTCAGTTTGAGATTATTATGCATTGCATAATAGAGTATGCAATTAACTACATTCGATCACTTTATGATAATAAAAGTTATGTACTTGCATAGAAAATTAGTAGATGAGATATAACTTGTATTTGGATGGAGAATTATTTGTCCTCGACTGGCTTATATTTATTGACAATCTATTTGGTCCGAAGGAGATCAACTACTCTTCCAATTAGGGTGTGTGGTTTATCTTGACCCTAGCGATTGTCATTTCGAGAGTAGTAACACTAACACACTTGGAAATGTATTATTTGATTGACCAAGTAAAAGTTGATTAACTTGTAGGGACCGCACTGATAATCTCATGAATTACCTAACCTATTATGAGATAGTGATTACTATTCATGAATTTGAAGTTCTTTTATATTTGAAAGAGTGATTCATTCATTTATGATCATCACTTCGATATGTTGGTAGCCGATATGGATAGAAGTAGTGAGCAAAATCTTTGCTTTCGAAATTTGTCGCCTTGTTCGATATGTTGATAGGTCCACTTCTATATTTCCTTTAAAGAGCAATTTAATTTTAGCTCAGTATATAGAGGATGCTCGAATTATTATTTCCATGATTTTATCATAAACAAGCTATTTAAGAAAACATGAGCCACAAGTACAAAAATAATTAGAAAGACAAAATAGTCTTTAATCTAATTACTCCACGTCCAAATGGAAATACATACATATAGAGATGTCAGGTCAAGAGGGTGTTTGTCACCCATTTTTATGGAAAAGTGAATTTTAAAATAGTAGATTGATGGAAAATGTGTGACTGAAAAATATGGAATTATTTATTTATTTATATATAATATTATTTTAATGAAGAATGTGTGGTTAAAAAGAAGAGAAAAAAAAATGTATTTTGATAAAATGAGAATCAAACGGGGCTATAAAATTGTAGGGAATTAATTTATATTATGTTATATAAAAAGGAAAATAATAATTATATTGGATAGTCTTGGATTGGCTCGTCTGTGTATAATCATAGCAGAGTAAATTATAAAAGTTCGATCAGATTCCTTTGATAGCTTCAGCAAAAATTCTGGAATAATTGTGTAAGTAATAAAAGTTTAGTGATCGCATGTACAAAAAAAATACAAAATAGAAGTAGAAATTGATTGGAACAAGGAAACAAGATAATCATACATATAGAGGATAGAGATTAGACGTCCCCCGTGGAGGAAAACAAGAGGTTTTTGTCCCCTTGTTTTGTTCCGTACTCTGGAAATTCTTGATTTGTTTTTGAGATGTTTACATACCAATTGTACTTCATATTCTGGAAAAAGCGTTAAAGAAGATATGAGTGTTGATTCATAAAGATGGTAATTTGGCTCTTCGATTCGAACCGCTCATGGCTCAGCACAAAAAAAATTGGAGCTGGCATGACTCGAGGTTCGAGCCGAGCCCTTTTGGGACGTCGAGCCTAGCCCCAGTCAGCCTGTGTGACTCTTCAGGCTGGCTTGTAAATATTTAAAAAAAGAAAAAAGAAAAAAAAAGAACACAACAAGCAATTTTGTGCTGCCTATGTGTTAGATATTAAAAAAAAAAAAAAAAAAAAAAAAAAAAAATAGAGCCCAATGTGTGGTTAAAAAGAAGAGAAAAAAAAATGTATTTTGATAAAATGAGAATCAAACGGGGCTATAAAATTGTAGGGAATTAATTTATATTATGTTATATAAAAAGGAAAATAATAATTATATTGGATAGTCTTGGATTGGCTCGTCTGTGTATAATCATAGCAGAGTAAATTATAAAAGTTCGATCAGATTCCTTTGATAGCTTCAGCAAAAATTCTGGAATAATTGTGTAAGTAATAAAAGTTTAGTGATCGCATGTACAAAAAAAATACAAAATAGAAGTAGAAATTGATTGGAACAAGGAAACAAGATAATCATACATATAGAGGATAGAGATTAGACGTCCCCCGTGGAGGAAAACAAGAGGTTTTTGTCCCCTTGTTTTGTTCCGTACTCTGGAAATTCTTGATTTGTTTTTGAGATGTTTACATACCAATTGTACTTCATATTCTGGAAAAAGCGTTAAAGAAGATATGAGTGTTGATTCATAAAGATGGTAATTTGGCTCTTCGATTCGAACCGCTCATGGCTCAGCACAAAAAAAATTGGAGCTGGCATGACTCGAGGTTCGAGCCGAGCCCTTTTGGGACGTCGAGCCTAGCCCCAGTCAGCCTGTGTGACTCTTCAGGCTGGCTTGTAAATATTTAAAAAAAGAAAAAAGAAAAAAAAAGAACACAACAAGCAATTTTGTGCTGCCTATGTGTTAGATATTAAAAAAAAAAAAAAAGAAAAAATAAAAAAATCGAGCCCGGTGGGCTTGGTAAGGCACAAGTAGAGCTATCAATGGATCGGATACGGATCAGATCTGCTCTAATCTGATCCGATCGTTAAGAATAATTATCTGATTCGATCCAATTCGATAATTCGATGGATATTTAAATGTTAAATCCAAACCCGATTAGTCATGTTATTGGATATCCGATCCAAATTTGAAAAAAATTAGAAAAATAAAAATTTTATTTATTTTTTCATTAAAAATCATTGCTTCAACAAGATTTTAATTATTTATTTATTTTAAAAAATATTTGAACTATCTTGATGGGCTCACTTATTATATTAGAAGGCCCAAATCAAATTTATTTATTTATTTATTATCCAAATCAAGTTATGCTCTTTTTAACTCATTTTTAAAAGAGACCCCTCTTTGAATGTTTTAGTGATATTCCAATGTGGGATACCAATTTTTTTTAAAGGATTCTCCTATTTCAATGATTTAGTGATCTTTTAGTGTGGGATACTAATCATAATCACTTATCAATTCTAAGTGTTTACTAGTTTACTTTATTATTTTCATTAAAAATTATAGCCTCAATAAAATTTAAATTATAAACAATATCAATTTGGGCAAAGTAAATTATTTTAGACATTTTAATTGTTAGTTTTTTATGTTATAAAACAAATTACTAGAGTACATTTAATCAATAAATTAATTATTAGTTTTATTTTATTTTAATTAATAAAAAAATTAAATCTCTTCAAAAATTTCAATTAAAAATATTATACTATTATATAATACTATTTATTATTTAAAAATTACATGTAAAGTATAATACAATTTTCAAAATAGAGAAAAACAGTGTCATAAATTATGCGATAATATAAAAAATATAATATATTATTATAATAAATCGAATTGGGTTGTTATCGGATCGGATTGACCTATATCCATATTTGATTCATTTAGTTAATGGATTATTCGATTCGAATCTCGATTGGATTATCGGATTGAGATCCTAAATCCATCTCCCATTAATTTCATCGGATTCAGATCAAAATCCAATTCATTGACAGCTTTAGAGCGTGAGTGAAAAGCTCAAGTTGAGTCTCGAGTTTCAGCTTGCGAACCGATTCGACTTAACTCGTTAACACCCCAGTGTTGAAAACTTGAAGTTTGAGACTTGAAAAATTTAGATTCAAGATTCAAGTTCAAAATTTAAGAATAAGATCTAAGCAAGTTGCTTTTCGAATATTAAGGTTCGAAATAACTATGCAAGGGTAATTTCTGCAATCACTTTCTGTGTTTGATTATGTTACCACGTGAACTAATTAATAAAGAAATTGGGTCATGTTTCGCGGATAAATACAAAATTTTTTTGTCTAAAATTTTTGCAACACAGTATGTCCCTTTCTTTTCTTTATAAGGCATCAACCTTTACGGCCAGTTGGTCTTATAGCGATTGATTTATTTTTAAAATGTAAAAATTAATTATTTTACTTTATAATAATATTGTGAAAATGACAATATAACTTATAAGAGTTTTTTCCTATTTAACTTATATAAATGGAAGTTATTTATATTAATGCAAAAACATATTTTAAAAATTGTAATCAACACGGCTTATAGCTACTAATCATTTTCGGAAAATGCCCTGTGTACTGGGATTTTTCTCACAGAGCTTCTACAGGATAGTCACATGGGGGTGGGCCCCATGTGAATACTTTATTGAGGTGGGTCCTACTGCTGTGTATATTCTGTGAAATGTCAGTAAAATTTTTCCCTTTAAATATAGCACCGTTCATCATTTTTTTCTCCCAAAACTATCAATCGTATCTTAAGAAAGATTAATATAATGAATTATTACTACTCTAAACAAAAATTTAATATTGATCAAATTTAAATCGAATTTTTACGGATTTCCATTTAATTCCATTATATTAATTAACACCATTTAACTCAACCAGAATTTAAAAATAAGAGATAAATTATGTACGCAGTTCTCAACTTTAAAATGTGGATTATTAATATTAAACATCATTTCGTTTTAAATTCGCCCGTGAACTTAAAACATTACTATTTTTTTTTCTAAACTCAAATTTTGTTTTTAATAGATCGTTGAACTTATAAGTGAAATTTAGTCCACATTTGATTTAGTTTAAAAGACTAATTAAAATTTAAATCAAATTTAACAATTAACTTTAAATATATATTTCACTGGATTCACAACTTTTTAAATACACGTTCCATCAATTTTTACCAAAATCTACTAAAAATTTGATTTTTATCTATATCAAACAGGGATTAATATTCAACAATACTTCATGTACAGCTTTGTGTATACTCCATCACGTGTCAAATTCTGATTTGGCAAATTTTTTTTTTTTTTTTTTTTAATGACTACCCATCATTCACACATTGCCAACTCGGATGATATATAAAAAAAGTGTACAAGAAGCTATATTCATTAATATTACTTAGACAAATGTTTTAAATACCGCTAGTGCGAGATAGCACTAGTCGACAAATAATTAGTCTACCGATCACTTTTCGTTAATTAAAGAGTTCTCGATAGGTGAATACAATATTATCAACTTGAAATAGAGTCTCTTTATCAAGCATAAAAAGATATATATATTTTTTTATTAAATCAAAGTTAAATATTAATTTTAATCAAATATTCATAACAACCATCCATTTATTAACCATACAGTTCCTGATATTCAATGGTAGTGATTATGAGAATTGATTTTTTGATCGTTAAAGAGAAAAGTGGGTCTTACATGTAAATGAAAAAGTAAAAAATTACAACTAAAATAATGAAATAACGATTAAAAAATTGATTTTTTGAAGGTAAAAAATTATTACCGAACGGGGCTTATCATAAACACAAGTTTCAGTTCAAAGTATAACTTAAAATACATAAACCAATGCAAAAAGGTAGTTTTACCATCAAATTCAAACAAACAATTAAAAATCAAAATTAAAAAGAAAAAAAAGCACAAAATGATCAAAATTCAAAAAGTCAAAATCACCTCTTTGGTAATTGCTTCGTTGCCTGTTTTATGGTGATGTAGTGGCCAATATATTAAGCCCATTATTCAACCCAGTAACCGGTAGCAATAAAGTAATCGTAGACTTTTTTCAATAAATTTTTATTCTCTACTCCTTTTCTTCTCTCTGTTTCGTAGTACTAGATTTAATCCAATCTTTCAGTCTGGAAGAGACCCTCCTCTGTGATTTTTAGTGCGTGAAAGAGTAGGTGATATCTCTGTGATTTGCTTATTTTCTGTTTGAAAAGTTCTTGTAATTTTTGTGTATTTAAGTGCTGTAGACTTGGGCTTCTTCAAGATTTTACTTTTCTGAGATATAGATCTCTGATTTCATTTTCTTTTCAACTTGTAATTGTTCATGATTTGGATGTTTTTGTGTCATAGTTCAAATATTTCTTCGCATTTGTTTTTTTCTTCATTATTTTTTGCTTAAAATAGTTCGAAATCTCGTGGATTTCATTTGATTTTTAGTTCTCTGAGTTTCTGATAGTTATCATTGTCACCCTGCTGTTATTTCATCTAATTTTTCTTCTATTTCCTGGTTATATGCTGCAGACCCATTTTTTTGGTAATTTTGGAGATAAATTTTAGTAAAATTTGTGGGCTTGAAGATTTCTGGGCATATTTGTGATGTTTCAGAAAAAATTATGTTATTTTAGCTGATTTGTAGATATCTAAAGAAGATAAAAAGCTTCTCTCTTGTTAAATCCCTTCTAGCAGGTTGGTACCATCGAAGATTGTTTTCTACATGATTATAATTTTGCAGCATTTGTTAACTATTAATAAATGTTTGATACCTAGATGGTACCGGATGTCGGATGAACAAAATTTTAGCTTATTTTTCTTGCTTATTAGGGTCGAACAGTAAAGTATACTTTGTATTTACACCTTAAAAACAAAATTCCTGAATAAAATCCGAAGCTCCAAATATTATGGTCGTGTTTCTTTGATTTAGCTTATACAAGGGGTGCCTATATACCAAGACAAAGATCAGCATCTTAGTTCTATCCTCTGTTGGCATTTTGCGACATATGGAACCTAGAAAAGTATGCTATAAAAGTGGTGTAATTCACTCTGCTTGAGGTCCATATGGAAATGTCTTTTTCTATTCACATCAGCCCTCATTTTTCTTTTCATTTCTTTCCTTATCAAAAACCTGTAAATGTCTTTTTCTCCTTTATTCCTTTTCTCTTTTCCTTTTGGATATATTGTAGATGCTGAAATTTAATTAGATTTTACTCATTTGCAGCCAAAAATAACCCATCAAGTGGACTATAATTTAGTGGAAAAAAGATTATTTAGTGCCTGTTTGAGCCCCATTTTTTGTCCAAAATACATTTTGGAATAATATTTTGTTGGAAAATGTGTGGTTTAAAAATGAGGAAAAGTTTTGGGTTTGCGTGTAATATTATTTTATTCAAGAATGTGTGGTTGAAAATAAAAGAGAAAAATGTATTTTGGAAATAATATTTACCAAACAAGGGCTTAGATTACAAACCAAGAAAGCAAGCTATATTTAACTTCATTTTAGTTGCAACTTGACAGCTGGAGACTAAATGTCATTCCGCAGTATAGCTCGAGATATAAGAGATAGTATAGGGAGCTTATCCCAGAGGAGTTTTAACGTAAGGCTGCCTGGTCATCATAGGGGAAAATCACATGGTTCATTTCACGACTTTAATGAACCTTTGGTTCTTCAGAATAGTCGATGGGCTAATCTTCCACCGGAACTTCTTTTTGATGTAATAAGAAGGTTGGAGGAGAGTGAGAGTGAATGGCCCACTCGGAAGCATGTAGTTGCATGTGCTGCCGTTTGTAGGTCATGGAGGAGCATGTGCAAGGAAATTGTTAAATGTCCAGAATTTTGTGGGAAACTAACGTTTCCAGTTTCCTTGAAGCAGGTAACTCCCCACTTCTATCATGCCTACTGGTACTGCCTGTAATTGGATTTACTTATTTACATTTCTGTCTTTTGAGATCGTTCACTTCTTTACATTTCACTGATACTAGAGAGAGCACATTAACTACTTGTTGCAAAATGTGTCTACTGAATCTACTGTATTTGCCTTTTACAGCCAGGGCCTCGTGATGGAACTATTCAGTGCTTCATAAAGAGGGATAAATCTAATTTAACATACCGCCTTTTCTTGTGTCTTAGTCCTGGTAAGTATTATATAGACCTTTTTGGACACTACTTAGCTATACTATGGGCTTATCTTTTTTGAGTTTTTATGGTACCTAATTGGCAGTACATTGCTTCATTGTGAGATGGAGTGATGAGTGGTTTTAATCCCTGTCTTATGATTTATTGGTTATTGTTGAGATTTCTCCTACCATATTGCAGATACATAATTCTTTTTGCATTTTATAAGGTTAACGGAATTACATATGAAAATCCTAATTATACAAAAATGGCAAAGGTTGGTTCCATGGAAGCATTAAAAAAATTGCTGAAATAAATATGCTGATGCATCCTCATTATTATGTGCCACGTGTAATTCGTTACGTTGTGTAGGTAATTGCATAAACGGCATATATTACTGCTGTATAGACAGTTGTGATGAACAATATGCCCTTGTTTGAGCCCCATTCTTTGGGAAAAAAATGCATTTTTAAAAAGTGTTTTAACATCATTTTAATTACACATTTTCTATCAATACACTATTTCAAAAATGCATTTTACCCCCAAAATGGGGCTCAGACAAGGGCTATATAGACTTGTTTGGATTCTAAATAGGACATGCTGATTTCTCTTATGACAAATTGATCCTCGTCTTTATTATTGTTTGTGACGTTTTTCATGTAAGTTGCGATTCAATTTTATCAGCTTTGCTAGTCGAAAATGGGAAGTTCCTTCTCTCTGCAAAAAGAACTCGTAGGACTACTTGTACAGAGTACGTGATCTCAATTGATGCAGACAACATTTCTAGATCGAGCAGCACCTATATTGGAAAACTAAGGTAATATTTGATTGTAATTTGTTAAGCTTGTGTCTTACCTTTTTACGTGATTCTTTTCACAAGTTACATTGTTATTTCTTGAGTACTGCCCAAATTTTTTGTGGAAGGTTTAGTTTACAAGCTGCCATACTTCTAGAAAAATCTTTATTGTGGGCTTTTCTTTTGGTATTCGAATGTGCAAGTTATTCAAACATTATCATATTTTTGCAGTTGCATTCGGGATATTTTTGCTATTGATATCTTACTTGAATATAGTGGATCAAAGACTTTCCCGAGAATGATGCATTTTTGAATTTACCTTTTTTATTAATCTCTACCTTAACTTGCATGCTTTTATTTCTTTATATTCTTCATCCATGTGACAATGGGTATCCCCTTGATTTACTGCCGTAGACAAAGTAATCGTGTGGGATTTCTCAATTATTAATATCAAAAGCTTACTCCTTTTTGCAGATCAAATTTCCTCGGTACGAAATTTATAATATATGACACACAGCCTCCACATGCTAGTTCACAAGTCTCTCCACCCGGTCGAACAAGCCGCCGATTCAATTCCAAGAAAGTATCTCCAAAGTTACCAAGTGGAAACTACAACATAGCTCAAATCAAATATGAGCTGAATGTGCTTGGGACACGGGGCCCACGCAGGATGCACTGCATCATGCACTCGATTCCCTTCTCGGCCCTCGAGCCCGGCGGTGTAGTGCCCGGACAGCCAGAGCTTCTTCCAAGGCCCCTCGAGGACTCATTTCGGAGCATTTCTTTTTCAAAATCTCTTGATCACTCAACCGAGTTCAGCAGCTCTCGATTTTCTGATATTGTAGGGTTATCCAACGAGGATGACGATGGTAAAATGAAACCCTTGGTTCTGAAGAACAAGGCGCCCAGATGGCATGAACAACTACAATGCTGGTGCCTCAATTTTCGAGGACGGGTGACTGTAGCTTCCGTCAAGAATTTCCAGTTGGTTGCTGCTACACAACTAGTCGCTAACGCACCAACGACATCTCAGCCAGTGCAGCCGGACCATGATAAAATCATTCTCCAATTTGGCAAGGTCAGTGAAGATATGTTCACCATGGATTATCGATATCCCCTGTCTGCTTTTCAGGCTTTCGCTATCTGCTTAAGCAGTTTTGACACAAAATTGGCTTGTGAATAGACTCAAAATGTCAAGTCATACTCTGAACAAAAATTGCATGTATTTCTATTGTTTGCATCGTATGCTTCTTTCCAAAGTCAGAAACGAATAACCTTTTAATGATGTTGTAGAACTCGACTATGATTTGGGACACTGCTTTTTTGCATTGTACAGATTCTTCTTAACCAGATTCGGGTTATTGACAGTGTCTGTTAGTTAGTATTTGCCCCGTCTTACTTATTCATCACTATGTGCCCACGTGAAGTTCATATTCATAACTTTTGCTCATACACTGGTCTTGAATCTACAATAGTTCGATGTGTTTGTGCATTAAGCAAAGAATTAGTCGATTTAGTTGCAAATGGTTACGGTAACTTGGGTTGCGAGCAATAAATCACTTGTAATTCTTGGAGACAAAGGGACAATCACCATTAAGATTGAAACATACGATGATGACGAGAAAGAGTGGGCAAATAGAGAAAATGCCATTTGATGGAAAGATTTGGTCACAAAGAATCGAAAATTTTGATATTTCTATTCTAAAGAGTCGATGGGAGGCAAAAGAGACCTACCCGAAATTATAATTAAGTGATACGAGTTTCGTATGTCCAAAAAATTAGTTGTCTAGATTGAAGTTGGACATTAGGCATCTAAAATTTGATTATTGACTTAAAAAGCAATCAAATTAGTTTTATTATAAGATGAAATTGGTAAGGGATAAATTTTCACATCGACTAAAGATGGGAGTATATTACAACTTATAAGGTCTTGGATTACTTCTCTTAATAAGATTAACTTTTTAATCAATATTGACATTTTGAGATGGAATTCTAAGTCTTAACATGGTATCAGAGTCCATTAAATTTCAACGAGCGATTCGATCCAATTAATACTCAATAAATGAGCATACAAATTTCATGATTGATCTGCTCAAACGAGCCACCATCTTGCGAGGACATATTAATGAATAAAATTTCACATCGATTAAAGACGAAAATATAGACCAACTTATAAGGTTTTGAATTATTTTTCTTAACAAGGTTGACATTTAAAACGGAGCTCTAAATCTTAACAGAAATGACTCCATATGGCTATAGATGAGAGCATAAATCCATGCATGTAATCCAAATGACGTATTAAGCATAACTATTTAATGTTCCAAATTTCAAAAGCATTCCAATTGTATGAAAAATGACAATCACTTAGTTAAGTGATTCATCAATAAAATGACGTCCAATTAAGTGTTTAGTCGTCAAAAGCAATTGAGCACCTAATTGATTGCTTAATCAATTATTAAATCTAAAGTATATCGCGACAAGAGAGTTGGTAGTGGATCTTATTGCCTCCAATGGGTAAAATACAATTAATAACTAATTAAAGGTAGTGGAGTTCAATGTCACTTGAATTAGTGCTTCTCTTCCATATTGATATATGACTTGTAATTTATCACATTATTGCTTTCAAATTTTATTTTTATTACCGGTATCGAGTCTCTTATGGATTAAATTTACTTATTTTGACAATATCACCGTCAAAATATATAATATTTGAAAAGTTGTGTTTTATTAACGGTTATTAGCACAAGATATCCCAATTTTCATATTTCATTACTCCATAGGGCAGCGAGGAGCATGCTGTAGAACCAACCTCCACCGTACGTACCTTTCGGTGTGACCACTAAAGAATTGCTTATATCATCCAATTTCTTAATAAAGAAAATGTAAAATGACAAAATACCCTTCTATTTAAATAAAATAAAAAAGAAAAAAAATTAAAGAACAAATTGTAATTATACTCCTAAAATGTTAATTATCACAAAACGTCCATACATTTCTTGGTGATGCATTTATTTCTTGGAAAAGTAAAAAAAAGCTCCTATTTCAAAAACTTCTACTGAGTCTGAATATCGAGCCATGTTGATATTTTGTTTTGAAATCATTTGACTTCGGGGTTGGTTGGAAAAAATTGGTGCTCCACAACTTTCTTTGACTTCTCTTAATGCTGATAATACAAGTGATATTCAAATTGCCAGTAATCTGACGTTTCATGCACATACAAAATATATTGAAGTAGATTGTTATTTTATTCGTGAAGCACTTTGGAATTATGAGATTTCTCTGCCTAACATTTTCACTGAACACCAAACAGCAGATATATTCACTAAAGCTTTATCTCACTGTCGCCATCAGTTTATAGTTGACAATTTGATATTTCTTCATTGTCTAGCATCAATTAAGGGGGATGCTAACGTGATTATTCAATTTGATGAGATTTGATTAACGTTCCTACGATAGAATATTTGATTGTATATAATGATGCATTTCCTAGTATAACTTATTTCTAAATTATATATCAAAGTATTTACAGGCTTTAAATCTCTCTATTTAAACGAATGATAAAAACTCAATTGAAATACAAATCTGTCAGTACGAAAATAAGTTCCTGAATCCATAACCTAAGAATCAATAAGACTGTTATAGATGAGAATAAAGCATTGGCTACCTCTTCAATCACTGCATTAATTCTGTCGTTATTCTTTTCTTCATTCTTCTTTAGTGCTCTACAATTCTTCTTCTACTGACCAATCTTGCTATAGTTCCAACATTCGTCATTCTTTCTTGACCTAGACTTGCTTCTGCCATTCCCCCACTTCCCATCGTCTTCTTCATTGGAATTTTTCTCTAAACCATTTATCCTATTTTCGATATTAAAGGCATAACTCGATATTGAGACTTATCCAAGATCTCTTCTATGGACTTATTCAGCAAGAATAATATCATGAACATCATTGAATTTTAGTTTCGCACTACCTATAGAGTTATTGATCGCAATTCTCACGAACATCCAACTACTCGGTAGTGTTATCAATTTGATTAGGGCAAGTGCCTCTTCATTAAATTTAATCTTTACTGAAACCAAATAATTGATAATTGTATTCAATTTATTGAGATGTTCTACTACCGGAGCACCTTACTCCATCCTTAAATTAAATAGTTTTCCATCATATGTACCTTATAACACGTAAATGACTTCTCATACATATCAAAAAGTACTTTATCAAATCTGTCGAGATTTTCTCCGCTGCCACGTTGTGACCAATGTACTCCAATAGGGTCAATCTGATAATTCCCAATATGTGATGATCAATTAGATTCGATTCATAGTCCTTCATTCATTTCGACTTTTCATTCAGAAGAGTATGATATAAAAATTACTACAGAGATAATCCTTGATCTGCATCCTCCAAAGAGCAAAATCCATAGCATCAAACTTGCAAATTCCTAGCAACGCTCTTTTTTATTTTTTTGGTCATTGCTTTTAATCAAAATCAAAAGCTCTAATACTAATTATTAAAAATTAGAAACTCTAATTCTATTCCATCGAGTAAAACATCGCAAAAAAGAAAATAAACAATAAAAAACAAATAAAATTTATAAGTGTTTACCTCAATTTGAGACTATCCCCTCTCACGTTGTTGCAGTAATTCACTATAATAAAAAGAAAAATTTACAAAAGAAAATCTCTCTCTCTCTCTATTTGATGGTTATCGAATAAATACAATGAATCATTATATTACATAGATCTTAGCACTAGACAGTTTGAATGAAGTTTGAAAGATAATTCCTTTGGATGAATTTCTCGATGAAAAAGATTAATGATATCCTATATACTGGCCTTTAATGTTCTAACTTAAATTGAAACATTATATTTTTATAATTCTATAGTACACGTGAAGCGTGTGACATTTGATTCCAAGATAAAATTTATCAAAAGGAAAAAGAAGCAAATAATGAAAATTGTCCCATTAAGAATCGTATTTACTTTGAGAGTTCATAGATATTACTAAGGGTCTGTTTGATTGTAAATGTGGAATTTGAGTAGAAAGAAAACGAATTTCAGGGAATTGAATTGATGAGAAATTATTTTTCTGGGAATTGTAAATTATTGTGTTTGATTGGTATAATTTTCTATGTGGAAAATGTTTAAATTAAAGTGTTTACATGAAAATTGTCAATTAAAGGGATAGAATTTACTGGTATTGGGAATGAAATTTGTTTCCATTGCCAAAACAAAAAAAAAAAGAAGAAAATCATCTATCTTTGGGTGTTCGTTTGGCTTTGTTTTACATGAAAATTGTCAATTAAAAGGAAATTTTTTTTAACAATAAATCTTAGAATTTGTTTTCATTACCAACCAAAAAAAAATAAAAATAAATAATAATTAAGAAGAAGAACAAAATGCTACAGTAACATGGAATTCCAATTCCTTAAAAACCAAAAAAAGATGAATTCCCAAGACAAGCAAGAAAATGTAATTCCATAGAAATAAAACCCTATCAAACACCATAAAGTTGGAATGGTGAGAATTGATTTTCCTTAAAAATCAAGAAAAGATCAATTTTCAAGACAAGCAAGAAAAGGTAATTCCATAGAAATAAAACCCTATCAAATACCATAAAGTTCCATGGAAAAAAACCACAGATCAAACACACCCTAATAGTAAAATTGGTTCCATTAAGAAGCGTATACTCTTTGAGAGTTCTTAGATATTACTATAAGAAGTTTGGGTACCTGGAATATTGAAAATTGGATCAAAAGGAAAAACTTATTGACCACTCTTTTGTATCATATATATTATGAATAATAACCAATCAAACCCTTTAAAAATAGTCACTTAACATTCATAATAATGATCTCATTCAACACACTTTTATAAATGCGAGTTCGTTATAGTTGTGCTGTCAATAATGGAAACCAACAAAATACATTTTAAGTAGTGATGTAACATTTATAGAATTGTGTCTCATTTGAAATTTTGCAGAACAATGATTTTTATTACTTATACTCTCTCCATAACTTTTAACCTCTAGAACAATGAATGCACAAGTAGCATCACTGGAACGATCTAGTCTAGAAATTTACTAATAAATACTTTTACCCTACTAAAGTTGCAAAATTAAAGCATACCATCTTCATATTTAGGCAAATTGATTTGGTTTTTGATTTTTCTTGTAGTCCACCTAAGTACTCCTTGTCTTTAAGTCTCCTCCAGCATCAACACGTAAACCAACAACCCCATTATTCTCGAAATAAAAACACTCCGAATCGGAGTAAATATTCTAGAGAATGTCTTCGATGCTCATAGACTCGAAAGCTCGATTGTGATCAGAGTGGAGATTAGTAAAAGAATGTAATAGGGTATTTGGAATATCAAGATTGGGTAG